TGTTCCTTGGTATTTCGATACACAATATCAAACTGATATGCCTGCAATATCAGTGCATAATGTAAAAGTCGGGTGGCTGTGAGGATAGGAAGTCCTCTTTTCGATTTGAAAATAGCCACTAAAGGTTTATGATCTGTCACCAGAGAAAAGCGTCTCCCCTTTAGATATAGATAAAACTTTTTGACAGCCCAAACAATTGACAGTGCTTCTTTATCAATTTGGGCGTATTTCAGCTCTGTGTTAGTCAGTGTCCTCGATGCGAATGCTATAGGAAAATTTAGGCCTTTCTGTTCCATCAGACAAAACATGCGAGATCACTGTCCCAAAACCTACCGGAGATGCATCAGTAGCTAGCATTAACGGTAATGTGGGATCGTAATGCATTAAAACTCTGTCTGAACAAATTTCCTTTTTAATTTTTCAAAAGCGATTTGGCAGTTTTTTGACCAACTCCATTTAACATCTTTTTTTTGTTAAATTATTAAGGGATGTGCCAAAGTTTCCAAATTAGGGCAAAATTTGGCATAAAAATTCACTAACTAATCCCAAAAAGCTTTTGATGTCTTGGACGCCTTTCGGCGTAGGGGCATTAGCAATTGCCGAAATCTTTTCATCCGTTTTATGCAATCCATCCATCGGCATCAATTTTATGCCCTTAAAATTTAATCTCATTTTGAAAAAAATTACTTTTAGTTAAGTTTTAATTTTAGGGCGTGCTCCTTGCATTTTTTGAAAAATCTTTCCAATGCTTTTAAATGAGACTGATCATCCGGTCCTGTCACTCGAGCATCATCCATAAAAATTTTAATTACTTCGATCCCCTGAAATAATCCCTCAACATAGCGCTGCCAAATAGCTGGGGCAGCATTTAATCCATACATTAAGCGTTTACAAATATACAACCCCTTATGCGTGTTTATTGTTAATAATCGTTGGCTCTCCGGATGCACCTTCATTTGTAGATAAGCATGACTGAAATCAAGTTTCGAAAAATTTTTACCTCCATTAAGGCATGAAAATATTTCTTCGAGTTTTGGTAATGGATGCTGTGGCACTTCCAAATTAGGATTCAGAGTCACAGAATAATCAGCACAAAGCCTAATGGAACCATCAGATTTAACAATTGGCACAACTGGTGTTGCCCATTCTGAAGTCTCAACCCTCTCAATGATACCTTCTTTCTCAAGCCGATCAATTTCTGATTCAACTCTATTTTTTAATGCGAAAGGTACCGGTCGTGACCTACAAAATATTGGTTGAGTATTAGGTTTCAAATTTAGTTTTACTTCGTGATTGTTAATTTCACCTAATTTACCGTCAAAAATTTCCTTATACTCCTCAAGCAATTTTTTTAAATTCAATTCACTAGAAGTTTTCAATGTTTTGATGGCATTCCAATCGAGATTGATTTTATACAGCCATTCTCGGCCGAAGATTGTGTCCAAATTTTCCTTCACAATGTATAAATTTAAAACTAATTTTTGACCTTGGTATTCAACTTTAACAGGAACATATCCTAAAGGTACCACCTTATCACCTATCACCCCTGTAAGTTTTAAAAACTAAATTTGTAGGCTGAATCTTTTTATTGGAAATTTTTCTAAATTTATTTATAGACATTACCGAAACTGTTTCCCCCAGTATCAAGTTCCATGCTAACTGGTTTGTTTTCAATTTTAACTTGAACCATTATTGGCGGTCTTTTGGCTCTTCCTCTCTTAACATGTGCGTTCTGGAGTTAAATCCATAGATGGGGACCTCATTTTTCGAATCATAATCATTATTTGCCTCAACTTTCTTTTGTTTAACCTGTCGGTTTTTTCCTAGACAAATAACACGCCTTTTCGATATGTCCAATTTTTTTTTTTACAAAAGCGGCATTCACTTGTTGCAAATCTACAGTTGTTTTTATTGTGATTTGCTCCTAAGCAACGCGAACAAGTTTCATTTTTACCTTTATTATTCTTAGCAACAAAGTTTTGTTTCCGCGGTTTGGACTCATTTTTTTTCTTGGTTTTAAGTACTTCAGTTCTACGGAATTTCCTATAATCTCATTTGCACCCTTAACCGCCTTTTCCATCGCCAAGGCTATCTTTAATGTTTTTCTCTAAATCGATATCATCTTCCTGAAATAATCGATCTAAGATATTACGATCTCGTAGACCGCTAACGAAAACATCCCTTAACATTGTATTTAGCATATCCTCTTTATATTCACAAGGAATCGCTAACGAGCGTAATTCAGTGACATAACTACTAATTGATTCCCCCTCATGCTGTTTTCTATTAATAAACATGTGCCGACTAGGTATTATTAAAGCTTTAGGATTTAAATGATCCTTAAGAACCTTTTTTAGTTCGGTAAAATTTTTATCTGAAGGATTATCCGGAGAGAGTAAATTTTTCAACAAATTATACAATTTCGCATTCAAGCTTGAGATCAGAACTTTCCCACGTTTTGCCTCTGGAACATTTTGAATGTCCAAAAAAGCCTCAAATCGTTCTATGAACGAATCAAAATTTTCTACCGTTTCATCGAACTTATCAAAAGAAACAGAAATTTTGTCTTGTTTATGTTCCGATTTCTCTTGCAATGCGACCATTAAAGCTTCATTCTGCTTTATTAATTCTTCAATTAACTTCTCCATCCTTTCAAAATAAAAATCAAATAACTTTCCTACCTTTTGCAGTTTTCAGGAAATCCCCTAATCCAAGTTTCAGTTTTGCTACTGCTTACGCATGTAACCGAGTGCACCGAGTCGGGAACGATTTTCTTCTCACACACCTTCATCACCAAAATGTTGTGTCTTACAGTGTGGTTTCAGTGAAGTGCATGACGCAACCAAGCAGACTAGTTCACACCACAAACATTTATTTCTAACTAACATATAAGAAAGCAGCGATGCACCATTTACGCAGTTACATTACATTCTCCTCTACTCTCGTTCACAGAGGTTCTCAGGTATAAGAGTACTGATACTCTCGAAATCAGATGCTACAGAGACCTTACTTGCTACCCCCTGAATGGACAGCCGGAAATACCTAGTCTTTTTCGAGACAGTGTTACCGACTTTTCTGGGCACTGATCCTGCACATATCCGCTATGATATGTGGTATCAGCTTCATGGAGCTCCAGCCCATAGCATAACTGATGTGCGTGATTACCTGAACCAAACATTTGAAGATCGATAGATCGGCAGAGGTGGACCAACCACTTAGCCACCCAGGTCACCTGATTTATAGCCCATGGGTTTCTTTTTGTGTGGGGGGGGTGTCCATGAAAGGACATGTGTACGAGACTCCCGTCAACAGTGAAATTGACCTTGCCTTGTTGCAGGAACTTTCCGTAATCTGCCAGGCATTTTTTAAAATGTTCAAAGTTCAATGCAACAGTGCTGTGAATCCTGTATTCATGTAAATGGCCACAATTTTGAGAACCTACTGTGAACCTTTACTTTACCTTGTTGGAATAAAGGTCAAATCATTACCACTGAACTGTACTGTTTCCTTCTGTTAACTTTACTTGTCCATTTTGTTCATGTAGATGATGTTTGTGGACATACTTTCCTATATGAAATCGATTTCCTGACGTCTTCCCTACCTCCCCATGAAATTTGAACGATAAGTTTTGAAACACTCTGTATTTTAAAATTAGCATTTAATAATCTTTTTCCTTTACTCTACATGAAAATATCTTTAAAAAAATTGCTTACTTTGAGAACTAATTTTCAGAAGCTCTATTCACATTATTCTGAAGTTTTGATAGACAAAACACATTAATAAACTTTGAAATTAATTAAAAAATACAAGAAAGACTATTTACAAGAAGGAGTCACCAATTCTTCCACGAGAAGTTAAAGGCAGGCACTCAGTGAGCTCAGTCTCTGAGAAAATGTCTGTATCAGAATTACTAGATATATTACTCTCTAATTCTTGTAGAAAATGAATCATCACCCTAATCCATGTCACTAATTGGCTTATTTACCATGTGAGTATAGCCTTCTTTTGATAAATAATGCTTGCTCCTCAAGATAAACTGAAATCTAGGCTTTTCAAAATTAAAAGGGAAGTTCTGGAAATATAACACATAAAAACAATGCAGAGCATAACAGAACCACACATAGTAACCCTAAAAGACACTACATAAAAGCAAAAAAATAAAAAATTAAAAAAAAGATTCAAAGGAATACCAGGAACCTGAATATTTATATAACATGGAGTTATAGAGCCAAGCTCTGTTTGTTTATATTATGCTTTCCAGTCCTGCGTAGCTGACACCAAATGCAGAATGTCATCAAACTGAAGATCAGGATCCTGGCACTGTATGCAGTTCAAAAGTAATGGACACAGGATGCCATCTAGTGGTCTTTTTAAAATGTTTCAGCTGAAAATGCATATATGCACTACTTGTCCCTTATGCTAATTCTCCAGAGATGCATGGGTGGGACATCCAGCTGTGAGAGACATTTATATAGGGAATGCATGTATGGGACACCCGGCTGTGAGAGACATTTGTAGGGAATTGCATTTATAAGACACCCGTCCAGAAAAGTTTAATGGATATGGGTGTGCTTAATTCTTACAGTCAGGACAGTAGTACTAACTTACTGTCAGGACAGTAGTATCGTTTTGTGTCTGCATATTAAAATGAATGAAACACACACAAAAAAAGTGTCTGATCTTGTATTTATATACATAAAATTTCCACATTTATTTTCTGATTCATTTTAAAATAAGCAAAAATTAAACTTGTAGAATATACCCAAGTTTCAATAAAAATAAAATGTAAAGCATTTTTAAAAGAAAATGTGTTGTACTTTTTTTTATACAGCATCTTTAATGACATTCTCTATTTTATATTATTAGTTATAATCATAATTAGTTATACTTTAATTCAACTATATTCATTTATACAGAGTTTGATTTTTAATTAAATTTTTAATCTATTATTTATATATCTTAATTATTTGTATTTTTTATTTACATTAATTACTTTTCAGTTTACAGCTGCATTTTTAGATGAGCTTGATAAGGTGAAATTAAACATGCATTTGCATTCGTTTACATATGATTATCATTTACGAACAATTCATTCTTATATATCTGGAAGACAGCTGATATTTAGGCATGGTTATCATCTTACAAGTTTCCTCGATGATTTCATTAAATACTACCAGAAAGTGCCAAATGGAGCTCGTAATTTATTGTATGCAGGTTAGTAAGTTAGTAAGTTTAGTTATTAAATAAGAGCAGCATTAGCAATAGCTACATATCTATTAACAACAGTTATTATTATTCTTGTTATTAATTTTAGCGTATTATGAATAAATCAATGTAAGATATGTTTGATATTGTAGCTTCAGAGCTTTGGTATTTCATAACATGAGAAATTAATGAATTTATTAGCTAATAGGCATGGATTTTAAGATAATTTAGTATAGTGTCTTTTTCATATGGAGGATTAAATTTTAGTGTTTACTAAAACTGTGGAAGGAAAAAAGGGCGTGAAATTATTGGACTACTTCATGGGAACTACAGCATGAATTTTTTAAAAATTTCAACATTATGCTGATTTTGTACCTGCTTCTCTTTTGTGGAATGTAGTTTAATACTGATAAATGTTTTTATCACTAAAGCTTGAATTTTTAGGTAGTAAAAAAAAAAAAAAAAAAAAAAAAAAAAAAAAATGGAGAATAAAATTTTATAAAATGGTTACTTATAAATGATTAATTAAAATCTGTAATTAAAACCTAAACAGTGATATTAATGAATATGCAAATAATATTTTGTCAAAGCATAATTTAATAATATAAATTATGTGTTCATTGTAATGAAGCATTTTTTTAAAAAAAAATTAGATGTTTTCTCATTGTTGAATATTGTATGCAAGTAATACAGAAATATATTATACACTATATAATAAGTTAATATTTACAAAATACACTTCCTTTTTTTTATTTTTATTTTTTTTAAGTTAGCAAATTTAAGATACTGTTGAAAAATATCCCTGAGGAATGAAAACAGAATATTTGAAACATTTTATTACCTATACAGAAAGTGGAATTTTGATGGAAAAATCACTGCCAAGAATTTTTCCAGTATATTTAATGCATTCAAAATTTTGATTTGATGTAATAACTTTCTCATATTTTTGTCTTTCAGTTTTACTTTTTCATCAGAAACAGAATTAAAATAATGATAAAAAATTTTCTATGATTTGCAGTGATTCTAACATTAATATGTTTATTGGAGAAGTCAAACAAGAAGAAGCAGCATAATATTTGTAAATTTTGCAGTACTGGTTTGTATGGTTTAACTACCGAACCAACTTCCTCAGCTGCCTAAGTGCAAATGAACATGATAAGAAAAGAATGGCTGGAAAGAAGTTAAGCAGTCCTGCAAAATTTACAAATATTACGCTGATTCTTGTTGTTTGACTTCTCCAGTAATCATTGTTCAGCATGTTATTGTAACCTAAATTAATATATTTCTTTTTTTCCATCTTTATTGGATCAAGAAGTTAAAGTGTGTAGAAATAAATGGTTATTCATTCTGGACTTTGGAATTAGAAAAATGTGTTAGCCTTTTATTGTCAGAAAAATTTGTTGATGGTTTCTGCAGTTACCTCTAAATTTGGACACTATAGTCAGCTGCTAATAGTTATACCCTTATCTTGTAATAGCGTGTTTTAGTGATAAATGAGTATTTATGACTATTTCATTGAATACTGAAATCATGTCATGAGCCTTAATTTGTTTTAATTATTATAATGAAATGCAGCAAAATTAATAAATAAAAGAATTTTCATGTCTTTGCTGCATTTTTGTACGGTCTGCTTTATTGGTTCAGAATAACAAAGCTGTTCAATATAGTCAAAGCAGTGTGAGTCAGTTGGTGAGTAACTAGGCAACAGCAGTGCTTTCATTATCAGGGAAAAAGAAAAACTTTATTTGCTGATCCTATAAAACTAGTGAAGACATTAGCAGGAAATATTTTTGTATCCATCATTTCATACAGTTAGATATCCAAATATTTTTTATTTATCTTTCTGCCCTTGATGCAGTTTAAAACCTTATTTTTGCAATCATCAAAATATCTCTTATGCAATTAAATTCGCAAGGAATTGATTTTCCATATAATGTTGGGGGAAAAAATGTCAATGATTATATTTGATCTCAGGTAATACCAGCTTTAGGGAAATGTCTTCATAGATCTGTTAACAATTCAAATGTTTTAGATGATGATTCAGTGCAATTATTTCAGACACTTATTTACCTTCCTTCTGCAAATCATGATTTTACAGGTATATGCTAAACATTTCTAAGTATTTCATTGCAAAATATTTTTTAAATTTATCAACATTTACAAAATTTGCAGAACAAAAGATGTTTATTCATTGACAAAATATTTGGTTCAAATTCTTTCCTATAATCATTTAAATTTTATGCTCATGCCAACCTTCATTGTAGGCATTATAATCAAACTAAAACTAAAAGCAACCTTCATTAAATTCATGTATATGTAGAAGGCAAACATATTTCTTGCAGTTTCAACAAATTACTAAACAAACATGGCAATCTAACAATTTCTGAAAATTACTATAAATTGTTGTAGTAATTTGTTCAACTACGACTTTGTTCAATTACCTCATAATTTGTTCAACTACTTCAGAATATAACTATTCTGAAGAATAGTTACATTCACAGAAGTTAGCACATGTGCCTTCCCATAGTCAATAACTCAGATTACATTATAGAATAAGTATCATCTGTTTACAAAACTTTAGGCAAGATAGTTCTGCTTCTGTCAAAAAATGCATATGCGTAATTGCAAAGAATGCAAAGTATTTTGCAATTTTGTGTAAAATAATTGAATCTAGACAAGAAATAAATAAAAATGTTCAAAAGTCAAAATGGGCATTTATGGTAGGAAAATTCCCAAATGCATTTTTCTTAAAATATTTACAAAATAGGTGAAATAATAACCTATAATAAATTGTATCTTTATACCTGGACTCTTATTATATTGGTATTAGATTTAATTTTTTAACAAGTGTGATGGTTTTATTACCTGGTTATTAAATGTTTGTTTTGTAAATTATTATTTTAGAGGTAGCATAAGAAAGAAAATTTTATGTGCATATAATAACATGCTTTTATTTCCCAAATATCACTATGGGGAGCAGTCCCCAATTATAATTAGTTTTATAACACTGAATTTGAAAGGTAGTATAATCAAGTTCTGTTTGATTCCTCCCTCCCTCTTTGAAGTAAAGGAGAAATTGTCTTAGTTTTCAACCTGTAACATTCTTTATGTAGAAGTTTCTCATTATGTGAAACAAGTATGGATATATATTTAGTTTTTATGCTAGATTTCCATTAAAATTTTCTGTCAGCACTTTAAGTGATTCATAAATTTATATTAAATCATCAATAACATTTATGAATAATTTAGTGCATTTTTTTTTTTTTTTTTTTTAAATCAGGCAGCTTAACCATTCCAGACATAAATATGTCAGGTGACCAGCTGTATAATTACATAATTAGTCACAATCAACTTTATGGAATGACTGTATTACGAATGGTTCCTGTTGTAATGGATAGCACATCGAGTATCGTAAGTATATTTTATTTAAACTTTTGTATTGCTTTCATTAAATAAAAAGTATGCGCATTTATAAAATTAATAGAAAAGTGAGATACATTTATAAAATTTGTTAGTAATAATTCTATTAAAAAATTCTTGTGTATTTTCCATATAAGTGTTTAAATCTCTTGATACCACTCAAATTGTATTATTGTTAGTGACGCTGACTGCCAACCCAATGGGCTTGTGTTTGAATCCTGGAGAAAGCGTGGATGTTTGTGCAGTGAGGCTCTCAACGTATTTTTGCACATGTAGTCTTACAGCCCTTTCACTATTGCTAGATGATTATCCCCTTCCTTATGAAAATTTGAAAAATATATACACATTTATTTAAATTTAGATTATTTTTAATGTGCTTTATAAATTAAACAAGAAAAAGGTGCAGAAAATTTTGATAAATACCAAAACGTGAATAAAAATTGTCTTCATATTCATAAACTAGAACTAAATATTTAATAATTTAATATATCTAAAAGGCTAACTGTATTCTCTCTCTGAAACTATAAAAATTTCTCCTTGCTGGAGAACCCCTGGTATAGTATCTGTGCGGCATAGAGGCAGTCAAAATGCACAGTGAGCCAAAAATCCTCTCTGTTTGGTGATAGATAAAGAGGGTGGAAAACTCTTAAACTGTCTCCCAGTGTGGTGTCTTTCAAAAATGGGGCAGAGCTGAGCAAAGTCCTAACTGTCACCTATATCGTGCATAAGACCCATGCCATTAGGAGATGCAATCTTGCACTCATTTCCTTGATAAAATTTGTCTGCATGCTCTGATTAGGCTCTACTAGTGAGATCAGCAACTGTGACAACAAAGGAGTTCATCTCTGGCACTTATAACTTCACAAGAGTAAATTCGTATAACAAATGAGTACATCTTGGTACCTATTCTAAAATCCTAACTTAAATCTAGTAATATTCTGCAAATTTTACAAGTGAGGTGTGTGTTCAATTGGAGGTTAAATATTAAGGAATTGTTATTTTATCAGTATAATTTATTGTCATTAAAATTTTAATTATAATCATTGGAATTATTTATTTTATAAAAGTTTTAATTACTTGTACAATGTAAATATTATTCAGAGGAACATTCTGTATTAAATTTCATTATTTTATAAAAAATTATAATTATCCATACATTATACTAATATTGTTTAGATGAACACTGTTTATTAAATTTAGATGCTAATATTTAATTTCTTGCTAAATTATTACTATATCTGCTATTTTTGTAGCATCCTGAAACTTCTGAAGTGAGGCATTTTCTTCCTTTAGCTTCAATTCAGAAAACTTATGAAAATAGTATTATATGCGTTATCTTAAACATCTGTTATTTCTGCTGTTATTTTATTTTGCATTCATTTGAATGAAATCAAATAAAAATATAAGAAAGCAAACAAACTCTTATAATACTTGTTTTGATATCTAAAATTAATCTGGTTGTCAAAAATAACTGATTTTTATGTTTTCCTCATTTCTTTCTATTCATTAAAAATTTTTTGCTTGCAATTTTTTTTTTTTTTAATTATTATCTGCTGTGTAAGTCATTATTTTTCATAGGTACTGAAGAAAAGATATAATAGTATTTGTGAATAACTTATTGTCAGTTTTATTTTAAAAACTGTAAATCAATTTAAAAAAAAATGTGTAATAATTGTATTCTGAGTGATTTGTTTTATAACTTCTACTGAAAATGTTGTTGACCCCTTTTCCTTCTTATCAAAAGGGCCCACCAGCAGCTGAGCAGTAAAGATGCTGAACACAGGTAGTTCAGTCCGAGGTTTGAATCCCGCGAACGGGCTGACTGCATGGGCGTTTTTATGTTTTTTCCCATGTGTAACATGTATATGAGTCAGTTTCCCTTAGAAAGTCCTCCACGAAGGTATCCCTTCCTTTAGGCATATAGCCCTCATGTGCTTTGCCATAATTAAATAATCTAATCCAATCCTTCTCATCAAAATAAATAACTGAAAACTTTCCATTCATTTGTTTTTGATCTATATTATTCAAATGTAATTGTGTAATTGTATTTGAAAGTTTACTTCATCTGTCTTTCTCTATTTTAAGCTGTTTTTGTGTTTTAACAGGATACAGAATTTGCCTTAGTTGAGCTATCCGCACAAAAAGCATCTTATAAAGATTTAAATGATGTCTGCCAAATGGGAAGTTTTGATGTTGGCCTTCTAATTAACCATAACACTTCAGAGTCTGTAACTGATCCTAATTCTTTAGTTTTAAGTTTTTATATAATTCTTACTAGTCAAAGAGATCTCTACCCTAAGCTGTCAAATTTGGGTTCTATGTTAGGATCATTTCAGACTGTGAGATTTGGTTCTGCACTTACTTCCAGTGGCTATTCTTCACGCAAAACAAGTACAGCATCTATGCTTACTGAAAAAGAGAAACTTGAATCTAGTGGAGAAGATTCCATCAACTCTGCTGATTCAAAGTAAGTTTCTTCTTTATGAACTGAACATTCATTTAAATGGTGCATTTCACTAAAATTGGTAGCAATTTCTGTGAACAGCAGGAAGTAAAATGCCATGTAAATGGTAGATATATCTGTGCTCAGCAGCAAAAGCTTACTAGCAGAAATATATTTTATACAATTGATAATATATCTATGTATGGAATTTTTTAGTCTTACAGAATATTAAGTATATTTATAGAATGTGGATTATTTTATTTTATTTTTATTACATTTTTATATTGAATTATTTGAACATGGGATTTTTTAGAATAGAATAGTGGCTCTCATCATTTTTCCACATTCTTCTTGAAGAAGGAGGGAGAAAGATTTCATCAGCGGTTACCAAAACTTTTGTCTTCTACTTTATGTCTTATAAGTTAATAGCATTTAGGTATAATGTTAGAAAGATGAAGAAAGTATAAATAACAAAGAAATGTAGAGACATGTATCTAAACACCATCAAAACTCCATGAAATGAAATTGTTCTAAAATTTTTTTAATTTACTATAATATCTTGGTTTATTCTCAAATGCTAACTGATATCCATGGTTTTATCAAAATTTTGCCATACTGAAAACTTATTTCAGAATTCAATAAATCGCACCATTTGTATTACAAGAGATTAGTGGTGAGAGTAATGATAAAAAAAATCTGTACAGTACACTAGGAAAAAGGGGCATCCAGACTTGGTTATCTAAATGCCCCAACCCCTAGAGTTGATCCAAGGAAGTATAATCACCCCAGTCAACCCAGGGGGACAATTTTTCCTTCACAAAGGTCTGGGTTTAAAGCTCAAAGAACAGGGTGGATAGCAACACATCCACCACAAAGAGACCAAAGTCATCATTAGACATTGACCTTTCCCCAGTGTTGACCATGGTTAGCCAACTCCAAGGACAACCTTCGTTATCAAACCGTGTAACATCCCCAAAACCAAGGGGCAGACAAGACAATACCATATGGTTCCTGCTGAGCCTGAACCTACTACCGAATAAACAATGGTACTAGTCACTGTGATGAGGTCTTAATTTTTCCCCAGAAGTTCAGATTGTCTAAATGCTGACCTAGCCAGAATGCCGGGATTGCTCCTAGTTGAACCTCACATGAAATAATCCATACAATAAACATAGCTCCTTCAGTTTAATCATTACATCCAATTCAATTAAAACTCAATATTTGTTCATTATTTGCTTTTCAAAATTATTACTCCTTAGAGAAAACAATTTCAGTTTAATTTTACTAACTAGCGTGCACTGTAGGGCAACAATAGGCCTAAATTAAGACATAACATATAAACATTTAATGAGACAGTGGTTGTAATTTTTGACACTTTTTTTTTTTTTTAAAGTTCAATGGATAATTGCAGGCAAAAGCATTTAAGTGGCTTCTGTATTTTGTTTTGATACTTATATAGGCAGTAAATCCTACTTCACAAAGATATGTAGTTGAGAAAGGCAGCATTAATAATTTTGCTTTTTCTGGTCAGGTTTTAAATTCATCTTGTGCATGCAGCCAAAGCTCTGATAGACACTGCTTTTGAAACACAATTGTTAAATTCTTGTCTTCTTCATGCAGAACCCATTTAATGTGATCAGACCCTTCTCTTGAACTTTGAAAAATAAAATTCAAATAATTCTTTTAAAGCTTCGAGAGGCTTGTGAATGTTTTTCTGCATTTTTTCTTAAATTTTATGTTATTTCTATTTAAGAAGCTTTCTATAAAAGAGAAGCATGCAATATCTTCTTTTCCATGTATTTCCTATTAGTACATAAGTTTCCTTTAAAATGCAGATGCGTAGATATTTGCATTAAGAATTGTGACCTTTTTTTCTTAGCAATGATAGATTCATTCTATTCATTTTGCTGAAATTGTCTGCAAAATATGCTGGTTTGTGTACTCAGGCTTTATCATATACATCTGTCACTACTAGAGAGTTATTGGTTCATCAAAAATGCCTCTGTGCACAGTTGAATCAAACGTATCAAGGCTTTTCTTCAAGACTACCACCTTATTTTAGCATGTGGTAGGACAGACTTGTGGTGGGTTTCTAATCTTCACACTTCAGTTTCAAGAGCCTATTTTTAAGAAGTAATGGCTGCTGTATGAGTGATTTCATGTAGTGTATTTTTATAGCATCATTTAACACTTGCCATTTCTCTTGAGACAAAGTATTTACTAAACTAAACTATTTTATTTTTCTTTGTTCTCACTATTTTTGAAGAACATTTTAAAACTGCAAATTTTAACCACTATAATTCAAATGTTTTATTATTTTGTGGAAAATGTTAAATATATATATGAAAAAATACATCTTTTACATGACTTACCCATGAGAAATAGTCAAATTAGTCAAAATAAAAGAAATTTAAATTCAGATCAAACATTATCTTATAAAAGCTTCGACTTAGAATTTCCATACAACAGGCACCAGGTATAGGTAGAAGTGGGCAGGACACTCACAAATTCATCATTGGTCGTACAGGTATAGTCTTACTGCACTAACTGTACAGCTGCAACCCCATTATGATTGAGAGCACCCCAGGGGATGGATTTTGGGTTTCCCACCCTTCTTCTCCTACTATTAAACCACTCAAGAAGATTTTCAGCTTAGCTGTGTTTTTATGTCATACAGATAATATACACTATTTTTAATTAATATAATTTTTACAAGATATAAAAATTTAAGTTTTGTTTTTGAATTTCAGTGGTTTAAGACAGCTGTTCCCAAACTGTGCTCTGTGGAGCCCTAAGGGCTCTGCCCTCACTTCACAGGAATTTTGTGGCCACTCCAGGGAAATAAAATAAATAAAAATTGATGATGTTCAAAGAATAAGAAACAGAAAGTGGAATAGATATTAAAAAACTAGAAATTATACCCTGAAAAGGAATCTGCCAAATTTAATCTTGTACCTACCTACTCTAGCAAACAAAGTGTTTGTTCTCTAGAAAACACTTTGTTCACTATGTTTCTATAGTTTCTATTCACAAACTACATTCTATAGTTTCTATATTTCTATAGTTTCTATTCACAAACACTATGTTTCCTGTGAAGTGAAGGCAGAGCCTTTAGGGCTCCACAGAGCACAGTTTGGGAACAGCTGTCTTAAACCATTGAAATTCAAAAATGAAACTTAAATTTTTATATCTTGTAAAAAATTATATTAATTAAAAATGCTCAAACCCCACGACTTCTGCCATGAATATTGAACTTAAGTAGCATTTTTATTGCAGTGCAAAATTTAAATTTCATTTTTAATGCATTTATGTAGATTGAATGAATGTAAGATGATTACTGATTGATACTGAAATAATTTAAGAGTTTTTTTTTTTTTTGATTCTTTGTTTTGAAATTATTTTAAATGTAAAGTTTTAGTATTTATTTATTTTATTATAATGTTGTATGCTGAATGTGACTTAAAATCCTAAATGTATTAAATTATCCTAAATGTAAAATCCTAAATGTATGTAAGAATAATATTTATCAAAAGAATTCTGTAAAACTTTTTGAAAAATGATATTCATAAAGAATGCATTTAATTTTTTTTTCATATAATCAGAGTTACTTCCCTACTTGCATTGAGTTTTTTTAAATAAATGTACTGTCGTTTTAATAAGATGACTTCTAATAGCATTTTAAGTAAAGCAGTAAGAGACAAAATGCTTCATATTAACCCTCTGAGTGACATGACGGGCTTTATCCGGTTCATGAGATTTTTTGTCACTTGACACTTATTAGCTTATAATTTAAGATATTTTCTTTCTTACTTTCTTTACTAATGTAAAAATCCTTTTAATGAATGTAAGTTTATGAAAATAGAGTCTAAAATAAGTAATTATACAAATTTAGCTTATAAATTCTGGTCTTCATAACAGACCCAAAATCCCACACCGCTCAGAGGCTTAAATACATATTTTAATCACACATCTGTATATTTTCCTATAATAAAATTTTAATCCTTGATTGCTTAAATTTGTTTTCAAGTCTGAAATCTGTATGCCCAATATCTGAAATTATTTAATATTCGGACCTCTGGACCATCAGTCCAATAAGTAAATAAATATAAAAATAAATTTAAAATAACAAGCAAAATTTCCCTTCACTTACTAAGTCTAAAAATGGAGACTCTAATACTCAAAATACAGTAGTAGATGTGTCGTGTGATTTTTCTCCCCACTAGATGAGATTTCTAAAATGTCACTTTCAAACACCTGCTGGCTAGGGAGTCGTGAAGTGGCCAATGACAGTTATTTGATTGGCATATTGAGGATGGCCAAGATCCTATTTTCAACCCTTGAGTAGTTGTGGGGGTCAGCATTGCTCTAACTGAACTAAAATGAAGAAGTTTGGTGTTGGTCTAGAAGGTATTGTTCAAAGAGCTTTTACTAGATTTAAATGATGATCTAAAATCCAAAAATTTACAAACTCCAGAACTGCCAGAGTCTGAAAAGTTCTGAATCTTGGACTTTGTATTGCATTATATGAGAAGTACTCATATAGAAGAGAATTAGTTATGACTTCTTTAAATCAATCTTTTGTGAATCTGAGAATTATACTTTTGAATTATTATTTTGTGTACACTTAAAAAATTTTGTTCTTATAGGTCAAAGAAAACTAGTGTAGTACGTAGTATGTGTGATGAGGATGTTATGTACTTAGGCTACTACAGTAGTCAAGAAACAATGATGCAACAGGTGTTGAATCAGCAGGCTGAAGCCGCACGATGTCATCTAGAAGGTATTGTTCAAAGAGCTTCTATTCACTGTCGTCGGGATTCCTTATGGAGCTCTTTGTTGCCAAGAACTTTAAAAGAGGAAAATAGCAGTAAAGATGTAATTATATTTTCTTGTGTTCTAAAATGGAAATTTTTTATGAGGTGGCATATGATTATTTTGTTAATTTTTTTAAATATCATCAAGGTGAGAAATTTTATATTTTTTTAAATGCCTGAAGGAAAACTTTTTCTAAGCTGTTTATTGATTTCAGTCAGCAGATTTATTATTTTGTTAAAACAGAAAGTATTCCCACTTTAGAGCAATATTTGTTTAAGACTTATGTGCAATTGACTCAGTGGAATAAATATGCAGCTTCATTTTAAATATGTCTTCTTTTTTAACCATTTGTAAACGACCATCATGCAAACATACTTAAGAATGTATTATGAATGTGTGATGAAAAAGTCTTACTTTAGAAGGCAAGTGCCATGCACTCACGTTGGTATGCATAATGTTCGAGTGCCAATAATAATTGACATTCCTCACCTATTGCACATTACATAATGTATTTTTTTATCTCAGTTTATGAAATATGACTTATTCTTTTAATTTATTTTTTATTATTTTATAATATTTTGTAATATTGTATGTTTATGAAATATAAACAAGCTTGTCTTTTTTCCTCTTCACCCTGAAATGATATGGTATAGATCCCTCATCTTTGACAGGTGTTACTTTTTATTCCTTATATGAAGTAAAGAAAGTCTTGTAATCACGAAAATTTCGTATGTCATATTGCAATGAAAATATCCATTTCAACTACTCTCAAAACCATTTGAACGATGTTTTTGTGTGATGTCTGTATATACAGAAAAAATAAAGGACTATTTTTGAAAAAGGATTGTAAAATGGATTTAGAAGAGATTTTTTCTGTGACATTTGTATGCACATACGTATGTATGTATGTATCTCTCATAACTCGAAAACGAATAGTCATAGAATGTTGAAATCTTATATATGGGACTCCTGTAACTTGTTTTGTGCATTTCCTTTTTGTATTGCAATTGGCTGTACCAATCATATATATATATTTTTTTTTCCCACACTGTTTCCTGGCTCAGTGAGCTGCTTTTTGTTCTTATATGTTGGTAAATGGTGTATTTTTTTGTTTCAATAGTGATTGAATTGTATAGTTTTTATGCCCCGGTTAAGGTTTTTATACTTTTAGTTAATCTGCATGCAATAGTTGTAGAATTTTCAACAAGTTTAAGTGGCAAGTTAAGCCTAATGAACTGCCATTTGTTTACTTTTGAAACTCAGTAGCATAGTAAAATTAGTCAGCTTTTACACTTTCACTGTCTTTTTGCTGAGTGGGACCAAAAGTAAACTTTCAGTTTTGTGCCCAGAAAAATCTGCCTTCCTGTCCATTGGCTGAATTTGTGCCCCTTTTGCGTAGAAATTGTAATTTTAATTGTAAAAATTGTTTTTTAACTGTGTTAATTTTATTTGATGTGTTCCTGTATTTTAAAATTTTTAATGATGATATTTTGAGCATTTATATATTTTTGCTGTGCTGCAAAGTGAGAACTGAATTTATTGAATGAGAAATCTATCTCTCGTGAAATTTGAGTATAAGTTTAAATGAAATGCAACAGAAAAAGTGTATAATTAATATTCCATACAAGGAGGTCATGTGATGTCCATATTAGATTTTTTATTCTGTGTTCACAATGAAAAAAATATTTAAAAAGATTGTTCTGTTGTCTTTTCCTAAAAAAACTATATTTATACTATAACAGTCTGAGAGTAATGAAACTGCAATAGATAGTGAATGTTTATGGACTATCTCTGAAACTAATTGTGAAGTAAATGAAGTTAGAAACAATTTCAGTAAGATATATTCTTATGAATATTAAATGAGTATGAAAGTTGGTCACCCACTGAAATGGATCTATTTCCTCATTTCTTTATTTGGAGCCCAAAAATTAAATCATAATATTATATCATCTGAATTAAGTTTAATGTGTTCTAATTCAAAATATATGACGTAACTTAAGATAAACTGAACACAAAACAAGTGAAGTCTCCTATGTCCAGTATGGTTTACCTTGGGCCACATGATGTAATATAATTTATTAAATATATTTCAATTCATAAACTCAGTATCATTTTTCTAAAATCTTTTATCTGTAGTACTGGGAGGAATAAAAGAAATCGTGTTTATATTAATAAAGTAATAGAAATAAAAATCAGTATTAATAAAGTAATTAAGTTACAGAAAGGAGAGAATTATTTAACCATTTAAAAACCACGATTTTTTATGGTTTTCTGTAAATTGGGCTTTGCTATAAAATTTTGTAATCTTTCAAAAATGAAATCATGTGTTTGTCTCCGTTCTGACAGTTACATAAGCAAAATTCCTTTCTCATTCACAAACACTTAAATAAGCACTTAAGTTCCACCTGGTGATAAATTATGATCAAATAATAAAAGAGAAATTTATAGAAAGTAATAGAAGTAAAAATCACCCCTGCCATTTGGCATTGCCATAACAGATTATTTTAAATATATGATTTTACATTTTGAATTCCTGGTGTATTAATTTTTATATTAATGGAGAGATTTTAGCTATTTACTTTAAAGTTGTTTTAAGTATTAACCTCAAAAACTAAAATCAGTATAGGAAGTTTAGATTGCAGTTCAGAATTTTACATTTTAAAATATTGTTTTATTTTTTGAAAATTCAGTGATTCAGAAATTCTTCAAAATATTTGTTTATATTCCAGAATTCTTAAATTGATTTTTTTTTTATTTATTGCAGGTTTATTGGCCATAAAGTACAAAGCTTTATACTTCTATTGTATTCCAAAAAAATTTTTCATATGCATAATTTCAATTGCAATCACAAAAATTCTGATTTTAGCATTTAAACTTTAAAGCAAAAATTTTACTATTTAAAAATAAATTTTAGAAACTATAAGTAGTTAAAGAACAAAAATAAGGTAAAAAAAAAATATATATTTACTTAATGTTTTTAAACCAGTACTTTGCATACACTGTTTATATTTATTCAGGTTTCTTCAGTTGCATGCTTTATTAATTTATTTTCAAGGAAGTAGATTTATAGTTAAAGATAATAATTATGCTTTTATTTTCATCAATTGTTGTTTAGAAATATAATTTTATTTTAGTGCTAAACAGTTCATTTATGTATAAAAATATATCCTGTGTTTTTATTACAGAGTTACAGATTTTTCTCTTATAAGTAGAAAATTATACTTCAAAAAAGAAATCTGATATTTTATAATTTGTCTTTCTTGTGTTTGTGAAGCTTTTTACAAAAATTTGCTTCTTTAAGTGTTTTTTGTCATCACTAATTTATATAGCTTTCGACATTTTTAACGTGAAATTAATTTGTAGCATGGTGCTTCAGCTGCTTCATCTTATGCTGACTTCTCTGAACTGCTGGAATTAGTAACAATGATTCCTTTGAATGGTATAGATGAAAAACTAACACCTTTCATGAATATGCATATATCATGGTATGTCACTCTAGCACCTGTCTTAAAATCAAAGTATGCTGATAGCCATCGAGAATTTATGTCATCAGATGGGAGCTCTATGTATGTGGTGAGTAATACTATATTCCAGTGTGTGATATATTCAGCTGAATAGAGCTTAGATGAAATTTTGAAATGTGTTGTGAGTGTTTATACCTTTTTGGAAATAAAAATAAATTATTAGTCATGTAATCTGAAATAATAATAGCCAAAACAATTATCTATAGATGCCAAACAAATGTGCATTAATTATGGATTAGTTGTTAATATTTCAGAAAATATGTTGCCGATTCTTAAACTTGCAATGCTACTGTAAAGATAATGTGACTAAGTTTGTTTTATAGATTGCATATGGCATAATTTGCTGTATGTGGTACTATAGATCAGCTGTGTATAAAGAATGTAAGAATGCATCAGACATTAAAATGTAATGAGTGGTTGCACATTTTCCTGTTAGAACATGATTCTATGGTGTTTCTGAAGATTCGAAACAACCTCAGACCTTAATACATCTGCAATGTAAACTGACTGGTCAGAGTTATAAATATGCATAACAGACTCATGTCCATTTGTACTCCGCATCATAAATTATAATGTTGGGTCAATGGGATAATATTTAAGGCAAGGTTTCCTAATGAGTCTTCCCATAGTGGCACTAAATGTACAGATGCTGCATGCAGAAGCAGAATTCATCTGAAAAGACAATGTCTCTCCATTCATGCTTCCATGTACACTGTAAAAAAGGGGGGAACAGTTCTATATCTCCCTTTCTACTGGGCCGATTGACAAAATTCAACTTGTGTTTTAATGTCTCGAAAGTACGACTTAGGATAAGATAGGTATTAGATTTATATATATAGCACTGCACTAATATAGGTATTTTCACACAGAATGACTTTTTCTGAAATGACATGCCAATTTTTTTCCATATTTCGATTTTATGACTCAATTATGCCAAACTGTCAAGTTTTATAAAAATCACACGAGTAGTTTTTAAAAAATTAGCTCTCAAAATTTTAGCTTCTCAATGTTAACTGAATTTGTTACATATTTATTAATATCTCTTATTTTATTAAACTTACTTGATTCCGTCTTCCAGAATTCAAAATTTAGACTTAATCTAAATATAATTTGCACACATGTTATGATTTATTTTTAAATATTGTTTATATATATGTCAAAAAACTTTTTGTATTATAACCTATAAAATTTTTAACACCACCTTAAAGTAAATGTATTTCTAGGCACACATGCAAAAAATTAGAGTTTTTTTATTCAGAATTATCTAAGATATATATGAATTTACTTTTTGACCTGTTTTGAAATTTAGCATGTATTTTATAAGCAGTAATAACACCAAATGTGGTTTACGCACTTTGTTAAAATTATTTGAAAGTGCAGTCAAATACCGAAAATCTGCCGATCTGATATCCGCCAACTCCTAAAATCTGCGTTGCCTCTCAAAAGTATAAACATTCAGTTTATAGGTTCTTGAAACCACAACATTTAGTACAAAATATCGAAGAAAAATTACTTACCGAATAATGATATCCGCACAACCCAAGCTTTGCAGATTTCTGGACTTTTGCTTTATTAACAATGACTTTTTTCCTGCTCATGTACATTGAAAAAAAAAAAAAGGAAAATAAAATAGGTTGCAATAAATTTAGAAGTTCACCTGGTGCAAACTGAAAAAAATGCGCCAAGATAATTTTTTTAATTTCTCCATAAATTTCTTATCAAAAATTACAAAATTTAATATCTATTTAATCTTATTTTATACAGTAATCCATTAAGACATTGCCTGTCACAAAAAGAAAGCAAATACAAGCTTGTTTTTCTTACACAGAGTATTTTATTTAGCTCATATTTGATACATTTTTATGAAGTTATGGGTTTACTATGTACCTCTTAGTTCTTTGTTCTTTTCCCCAGAGCTGTAACTGTTCTTTCATCCCTCTGTTTAGAAGTATAATTTCCCTTCAAAAGTAAATAATATAATTTAGAAGTCATTCTACTAGTGGATTGTTACAGAAGTAAATAAATTATGTTGATTAAACTCTTATTTTTCAGTTCAATTAATTCTTAACTCATCAGTTTTATTTTTAAATCATCATAAGAGTATTATTTTTATCATGAATAATGTATTGTTTTATTGTTTATTTTTTATTTATTTATTTATTTATTTTTTCCCAAAATAAACAGTTCTTTCAGAATTTAATCATTCTTTTTAAAGGGTTTAGATGCATTTTTTCGTATGTCAGTTTTAGTAGAGACTAAACCACGAAAGAGAAAATATATATATATATATATATCATCCTGCTTAGGCACTACACCCTAAGAAAGGAATGCCAAATGAAGGAATTTTTAATGGGAATGTTTTGAAAAGACCTTTTTTCTTTCTTATTGGTTTTACTAACAGAAACTTTTTTCACATCACATCTCCATGTATTTTTTTGCAGTAGTGTTATAACTTTCATGTCTTTTTTAAAAAATTCATAGAGTGTAAAGTAACCCTTAGGAGAATGCAGTAGCTTCATTTTCGTTTGATGGTTAACTGGAAATTATCATCCTTTTTAATATAAAATGAGCCAGTTTCTTATTAACAAAAAAACAATTTCACAATTGTTTGGTTATAGTTTTGGGTTTTTTGTAGCCTTTAATGATAAATGCTGCAAAACTTGCCTCAATCCTGCAATGCAGACGTATTAGACTGAACTCTTTCATTAGCCCTCCATTGCTGAACTCGTCCACCAGGCACTTGCCAGGCCTCAGATGCACACAGATCATGAGGAGGCAACAGTGACTATGATGCCATGTTCTTTCCATTATGCCATCTATTCAGATGGCTACCATCTGGTCACTACCATCTGGGACAGCATAGGTTGCCCTTTCTGGCAGTAGGAACCGAGTTTGTGTTATTGTACCTTCAAAGCTGCTGCTGTCATAGTATAATATACTAATCCAGTGTATGCAACCCAAGGGTGTATGGTCAGCAATAAAACTGACAAGTAGCATTTCTTCCAATTTCTTTATAAGGTAAAATTAAATTATTGTGATGTTTTTTTAATTCATTATACTTAATAGCAAATGCATGACATTGAAACTATTGATTTAATAGAAGTGAAATTAATAATTTATTAAACTAATTATTAAATTATTATTTTAATAATTAATTCGATACTTTGTTGTTAAAGTGGACACCTCCTAAGCCTTTGTCAACATTTGAAATAACTGTGTTATAATGAGCAATTAATTTGCCAGTTTTGATGATTATACTTGGTGGTTCCATTATCAAAGAAGTACCATTAGCTTCTTATGTTTGGACAGAAAAACTGAATAACAAGAAAATTTTAAGAATTCACCTAACTTTGACTAGCAGTAAGTCTTTCGTTGTCCATATAAAATAGAATTTCTCACCAATAAGCTGTTTAAAGCTGTATTACTTGGATTAAAATCACATTCTAAAAATATTTATTGAAGGAGCTTTCTCATTTTTTGTTAGGCATGTGGCTGTGGTACATTAAGCACTATAGCAGTTATATTGATCAATTATCAATGCATAACTGGCTTTAAATGTATATAGTAAGGAAAAAAATCTTAAATGCCTTTTCTTCATACTGATATTATAGTTAAAATTCATGTTAGAAATATTTTTGTGAGTGTTTATTTACATTTAAAAGATTGTTAAATTATGAAATTTTATGAACGTTTTCTTAGTTATGTATTTTAAATTTCTCTAAAGCATTTAAATCATTGTAACTCAAATCTGCTTTCAGATATTTCTCCATAAGTTTCTCCATATCTAAAACATTATATTAGATTTGTGTACAAGTGTTTCAATTGGAATCAAATACAAAATTATATATTATTCATTTTAACCAATCTGAACTAATTTGAATTCAGTAAAACACACAAAAAACATCATTCCACTTTCGTTGCAAAGTAATTATTTTTCAAATACTAACTCTGGTTGTCACATTTTCATATAATTTCTGTTGACATTTAATATTTTTCTGCATATTTATATATATATGTGAAATATTAAAAGCACAAGGAAAAGCCGGAGCAGTATCGATGCATGCTTAGATCCATATTGAAGAAGAATTTTGATTGCTTAGTATGCTAATAATGTTAACTTGGTAATATCTAAAGAACTTGGCAGTTGAGGCAGTTTTAATTCCATTTTTATTTCCAATTGATATTTGTGACTACAGTCACTTGGCACTCTGGTCATTCCTTTCCACAGAAGATTTACATTTTTGACATTGTTGAGATAGAAAGGAAGCCAGCGAAATTACATCTTAGCACAGTAGAGAGCAAAGCTGGAGTGCATAGTTATGCAAGATGGAAGCACGTGAAGAGAAAAGTTTTGGTTTGCAATTTGGTGATTGGTCAAGAGACATCTGCATTAAGGGTTATGTAAGATCGCATGATTAATTTGAATGATGCAGTTTAGACTAAAGCGCTATTTTTAGGACAGATAGATGAAGTTCCCAAATGAAATCCAAAATAAAAGCGGTTATAGTGAATTAAATTTAGAAGTTTGCTTTCATATTTTTTATCTTACATACAATGGTGGCCAAAATTGTGGACACTTTTGGAAATGTTTATGTTTTTGAACTTTGTATGCTTATAGGAAACGTTATGTTTCACAAAATGCAAACTTGTATATATCATTTTAAAGAGAATTTATTACTGAATTCAATACAAAACACAAAATTCTATTATTTTCAATACAAAAAAAGTTAAACGATAATAGTTATCAATATATATTAGATAGTGATGATTGCAGTGAGTTATCAGTACTTAGTAGGGTACCCTTTATTTTTGACTGCAGCTTCACATTGACGTTTCATTGAGCTGACAAGAGTTTTAAGCTCTTCTTTCGTTATTACATGATACCAGGAAACAATTATAGCCTCTATTAGTTCCCTTTTATTTGATGGGCGCCTCATTCGGACAAGAGTTTTCAAACAGTGCCACAAATTTTCGATAGGATTGAGGTCAGGACTGTGTTTCCTGGCCATGACAACAATTTAATGCTCTTTGTACGAAACCACTCTTTCGATATTTTGGCCATGTGGCAAGGAGCAGAATCCTGCTGAAAAATAAACGAAGCATTGTTGGGAAAGAGATCTCTGATGGAAGGTAGAAGTTTTGGTTCTAGAATAGTGTCAATGTATTTTCTGGGATTCAGTGTCCCATCGATGACATGAAGGCGACCAATTCCATCTGCTGACATGCATGACCAAATATTAACACTAACTGAGTTGTTCACAATTGCATGAATGCAGTCAGGATGTAGCTCTTCTCCTATTTTACGTCTTACATATTTTCGCCCATCACTATTGAAATAACTATATCTTAATTTCATGACTCCATATAACTTGTGACCACTGATCATCTGTCCAATTAATGTGTTCCTTTGCCACTATAGTCTTTTTTTTCATTGCTGAAAATTAAGATAAGGCTTTTATCATGGAATTCTACCTCTCAGTCCAACATTTCTTAATCTTCTCCTGATTGTTCTTGAACTGACAGAAACACCAGCATCATTCAGATCACTTCTGATGGCCGCTGATGACATTTTTCTATCTTGGAGACATAGTCTTTTTATTCTTCTGTCTTCATTAGATGTGGTGCACCTTTTTCGGCATTTTCCTTCTTTCTTTTTTATTGAATTTTTCTCCTGATATCGTAAACAAAACTTTCGGACTCCAGATGTAGTCACTGAACCACCCACCTGTCTTGCAATTTCAGCATAGGAAAGACCACTTTCTCGTAACACAATAATATTACATCTCTTTCTTGGTGTCCAATCTACTCTTTTATTTGATGTTATTGCTTTTCCACTAAATATTAAAAAATTTTTACAAAAATTCCTACTTGTAATTGCAGTGTATAAGAAACAGGTCCTCCTTCTACAGAACAAAGCAAAATAATGAAATGTTTCAAGTGTAAACATGATGTCAGCTTCTACTGGCAGTTACTAACATTTGATTGGTTCTCAGAACAAGAACAGTGATTGGCCAGGAAAGCTAGACATTACAAACCACTTCATAACTGTGTTTTTTATTTATATTAAAGTACATATAACTTTTTTTGTATTGCAAATAATTGAATTTGTGTTTTGTATTGAATTCAGTAATACATTCTCTTTAAAATGATATATACAAGTTTGCATTTTGAGAAACGTAACATTTTCTATAAGCATACAAAGTTTAAAAGCATAAAAATTTATAAAAGTGTCCACAATTTTAGCCACCACTGTATATATATAAAGAATGGCTTTTATTTCTTTTTGTTTGTCTTTTCATAGCGTGCAAAAATTTCAGATGCACTTATAGAATGAAAAATTTGATCTTAAGCATTATTTGTGCAAAATCATCTTATTTTTTCTGATATGTCTGCAACTTGGGGGGGGGGGTGATGAGTATGAGTTTTACTATTATGTTGTTAACTTTTTTTCATCAGATGTTTCAGTACCATTACTTCAGAAAATATTCATAAAGTAAAATACTTTATGAATATTTTCTGCATTATTTTGTTGCCCCCATATAACAATTCTGTTATCAATGTTAATTTGCTTTGTTAACTAATGTTATCTGTTAAAGTATCCACATATTCTAGAATCCACTTTACAGCAGGTTCTTTCAGACTAATGTCCTTTTATTATTGTTGTTGTTAAGCCTTTACAAAAGCAGTCATGATTATCTGTGGTGTGTTTTGCATATTTAAGTCTGTATTAGCTAAGATTTCAGAAACTGTTTATCAATTATGGTAATGTTTAAAATTTTTACTGATATAATTTATCACACTGCGGAAGCCATATTGGGGCAAATATGTGCTGTTGATACTCTTAATTGAATGATATTATAATGAGTATTTTGTCAATAAGCTCAAAACAGATATGTTAGGAAAAAAGGGCAAAGCATGACTATAGATGAGGCTAAAATATTTTAAAAGGAAATATTCTATAATTAATATATTTTGGCATCCATTTCTTATTCGGTTTTCACATAATTTATTAATCAGCATCATACATCCATATTAGTATTCTTCAAATCAGTTGTAAATTGTTGATATGGGTAGTGCATCTTCACCGAAAGTTGAATCAGTACAGTATTATTGTGTTGAATCTTATTGAAAGTCACAATAAATTGCAGTTTGTTGTGGAAGCTGTGTTCAGTCAATACATAGGATAATTTAATAACTTAAATGATAATTCCAGAATGGACAAATCATATTTTAATTCACGATAATAAAAGAAGACACTAGAGTTACAATATCAAAGCAAACTCTTTTTTATTTACTTTTTTTTTTGTTGCCAATCTAGAGAAACTAAACTTGTAACAATAAAGATAATATCATATGTAGAGGGAGCTGCTACATCACTCCTTCTCCAGTAAAAACATAGTTACAATACACTCTACAACTTTCAGTAACAATAACAAAAATTTCAGCTGCTGTAAGTTTCATAGTTTTGTCAACTTAGATCCATGTTTTGTCACTACCTTATAACTTATTAAAAAGAATTCTGTAACAACTTCCGTTCTTTTAACAGCCAGTTTTCAGAAGAAAGTTCAAGTTTAAAAACTATTGGTTGCCTAAAAACTATTTCTGGTACTGCTGAATTCTAAAAATTAAAGTACTGCCTTGGTAGTAATGCACATTGATTGTCGCAGATTAAAAAAAATATTAGATGTTTCCAGTTTGCCATATTCTTGAATTTTTTAGAAAAATTAAATTGTGTTGAAATGTATTTGTAGTCACTTAATTTAAATAATAATAAATAGTAATGATATGTAATGGCTGAGGACTATTAATCTATAATAATGTTTAACTTTTTTATTAATATTTAATTTTTTATGTTAAAAATATGAATTTTTTATAGGTTGTTACTAACTTCCGTTGTCCTGATTCATTCTTGCTTCTTTCCATTGATGCACGGGCAAATCGAACTGTAAGTTTAATCATTTATCTTTTTATTGTAAATAAAAGGAAAAAAATCATATAAAATCTCCTGTCTTTGCTACTAAGTATATTGAAATTCACTAATAATGGATGCATCATAAACTCACTAAAATGTTCAAGTTACTATCTGATAAAATAAGACACTTTAAATAGACACTGTGAGATAATTTCTGCTTCTGCATATTGTTTTATTTGCTAGTTATGTTTGAAATTAATGCAAAGCTCCCCTACCTTGCTCTTCAGTTTTTAAGAAATGGGTCAGATTGAGAGAACTGTGAAATTTTGTTTGAAAAAAAAAAAAACGTTATGGACATTTTATGCTCATAAACATTTTTGGTTAATATTCCATAAGTGGGGTAAGTTGGCGCCAAACTATTTTGGCGTTCAAAATTTGGTGGCAATGAAAGCACTAAGATGTGATTTTTAAACGTAAAACAGAATAGTAACTTTTAAGTTTTGCAGTAGTGAAATGCCATTATTTTATGGAAACAGAATAGTAAAATAAGATGATAAAATGCTAGATGAGTAAAGCAAAGTCCAACAGCTTTGCAAATAAAGATCTATGTAATTCATCATAAAATAGTAGAATGAACAATTCTTGTAAATAATTATTGAGTAAATAAATATCTACACTTATCAGATCAGAGCACTGCAAAGTGAGTTTTAAATGTAAATACAATAGCAAATTTTTGTTTGCAGTGGTGAACAGCGATTATTATGTGCAAACAGAATAGTAAATGAATTTGATTAAATAATAAAACAACGTGCATCATATTGAAATATATTGATAATGAATGCATCATAAACTCACTAAAATATTCAAGTTACTGTCGTCCTGGAAATTTAACACACTAAAACAACTTTCATTCAAAACTTTAAATATTCCACATCTTTTGATTGCCACATGCAAGGGAAAAAGAACTAAAAAAATAATTAAATAAGTAAAATTAAATGAAAACATTCATAAATTATAAACTTCACGTCATCTGAAATCCAACATTATCCCAGGAACAACAGCTTAACCTTCTGCAAATATTTATATAAATAATATTAAATATATATATATATATAATATTAAACAATAAAACTGTTAAAAACAAACACAATTTTTCAGAATTAAATTTTAAAAAAATCGTCTGGCTACACTAAAATCGCACTCTTATAATTACCGAAATGAAGCTCTAGGTTTGCCACAAGAACACATACAGCTGGAAGCTACAACCAAATCAAAATCCCATCAAATCAAAGCCTCTTGCCAAGTTTGGTGCTCACCCTTATTATGGAATATTAATCACCTTTTTTCTGGGGTTGTCATATTCATAGTTACTAGAGAACTTTAATTATTCAGATTTATTTAGCTTGTAGTACAATGAAATGTTATTTTCATTACAAAAGTAAGGAGATGTTTTATGTAAAATAATACATTTTCATCCTGTTGGCTATTTAAATATCATTAGATTTTGCATTACAAGTCACACAGAAGTTATTTAAGTTGAAAAACTGATTTTTTGTTTAATTATTCAAAATGTTATTGTAGCTGTTGATATTGAAGCAATTTGCATATATCTGAGATTATATGTAGATTAATTCTGTATATCTTTTATTGATTAATCGTATATATCTGATACTTATTTGTATATATTAATATATATATATACGGAAATAATATGTATTATTCATTTGCCAGTTACGAGTTAGTTTTACATTTTAGTTCATTTAGATGTATGTTTCTTTACAGAAAAATATTCCTTTGAATTCTTTTCTTTTATAATTGAATTTTAGCGTTTAAACTTCTGTGTTAGTATTAAATAATGCAGACTTCCTTAAATTCCTAAATTTTTGTTCTAGCATTAAATCTGCTTTAAACTTTTAGTTGGTATCTAAAAATGCAGAAATCTTTAAATTCCTCTTTTCTTCCCCATACCCATGTTTTAAAATTCTAAAATACTTGAAATGCTAGAAAATATTTAAAATACTAATAATTATTTTAATTTTTTACGATTTTTCAGACTACTATTCTTGAAAAATATATTGAAAGAAAAGTTTCAAATTTGTGTTTCTAAAAATTTAATTATACTATATGGTTACATAATAAGTAACTACCTTGATCACAATTATTAAAAATGGAATCACCATGTAACTAACTGGATATCCCATTCTTTTGTAAGAAATGCAAAGCTTGTTTAAAATTATTTTTTATTTGTTTGTTTAAAAAAGTGGTTTGTGATAAAATAGCTGCATATTTCACTTAAAACAATGCAATATAAAACAGTTAACTTTGCATGTCAATTAAAACATCTGTATGCAAAATTAGCTGTTCTATATTTAATTAGGTTTATTTATGCAACCATATAATATTAGAATTTTTATTTTTGCAATGTTTTATTATCAATTTATATCTTTATCGAAAGATATAAGTAACGATGTTAAAATAAACTTTTTTAGTCAGTTTGTAAATTACAGAGAAATAAAAATGTTCAGTAGTTATCAAAGATGATTATACAGCCTTGTTTCAGACAAACATTATTTTGCACTAAAATGTGTTCTTTAAAAATTATGATGAACTCTATACTGAATTCAGGATCTTTTAAGGGTTATGTCGAGCCATTCTCGGTTGTTGATTGCTGGAATGCATTTCCTACTAAAATCTTAGGCTTTCTAAATATTTTCTTTTTTGTTTCTCTCAGACATTTGACAAAAAAAAAGGGGGGAATCCTTCATTCCACCATTGTAGTGGGTGGCAGGAATATGCACACACGTAGCATATGATACACACATATAATGATCAGTAAATATGTTCACAGAAATTCATTATAATTTAGTTTTTTGTCAAGTTCGTCCTTTCAAAATGTCTAATGTGGAATATTTTCTTATTAACATAAAATTATTTAACTAGAGTACAAAGTTCGTAATCCGGACGTCCATTATCCGGAATGATCTATAATCCCGACCTCAAAGCCACAAACTTTTTTTTTTGCTATGCTTTATGCATGCGCGTGATGCGTTTACCCATGCCCGTTTAATGTATAACAGATGGTATAAGCTAGGCTAAAATTATCTTTACTGATTCTAAGGCATTTCAGTTAATATTGCAGATTTTGAAGTTCCATAATCTTCTAATTGGATCTGGCTTATTATTTTTTGCAGTCTGTTAGAGCAATTTCATAAAAATTAAGCTTGAACTTTCAATTATGTCAAAAAAGTTTCCAATTCTGGAGCTGCCAAAGGGTCTACAAAGCATTCAAAAGTCAACTGTATATGACATAAGCAAAAGGAAAAAGGAACTTTTTGAATTTTTTGTGAATTCCGACACCCCACTTGCAATGAATAACAAAAAGGGTTCATTATGCTAAAAGTGACGATCATGACGATTGAATGGGTCAGACAGCGTCGCAGCGAGGGCGTGCCATTGACAGGTCCAATGCTAATGGCTCAAGCCAAATATTTCATAAGGAAATGAACTTGAACACTGGTGCACATTCGACAGATTGAACCAAATTAAAATCGCCATGGTATAAGGACATTAAAAATTCAGGTGAAAAAGCTTAGCTGATACGGTAAACCGCCATCTAGGGGATTTCTACACTTACGACACACATTTAGGTGACTAAGTATTTATTTAGTTATTGATGGAGATACATTGATGACTATTTACAAATAGAAAATAGAGTTATAATTGAGAAGGATGGTGAGGACGATGAAGATAATAGTCGCGAATTTGAAGGTTTTCGGACATCGCAAACTAAAGGTGAAATTTTCCAGTTATTGGATTTTGTAAAAAAATGTGGAGAAGCGGTAATAATGAAGATATAACAGAAGTTTTCATTGCGACGACAATGCCCAATCATCAATCAATTACGGACGGCAAAATCTGTAGTATGGTTCTAGATCCAGAAAATACTGCTTCCGATAGTGCAGAAAGTGACAGAAAGGTTATTGAAATGAAAAAAATTTCATTTGACAAGTTAGGCGGTATTCTTGACAAGCAATTACAGGACTTGAACATGGAACTTTGTAACTGAACAAGAAACAACTTACATGAAAGAAATGTTAATAAAGTAAACAAAAATATTAAGCTTTTTTTTTTTTTTTTTTTTTTTTTAATTTTTGTAATTTTGATACCCTTTAGATCATAATTGCTCTTTTTCGTAATTACGGTTCATATTTTTAATGTAGAATTTCTGGCATGCCATCTTACCAGATAAATTGATGATCTATAATCCGAAATAGCTGAAGACCCAACGAGTCCAAATTATGGACTTTGTACTTTATTTATTCACAGATTCAGCTAGTACTATAATGTATTTGTGTGATTATGTAAGAATTATATTTAGTCAGAACTTTAGTATAAATGTTATCAGAGATTTATTATTATTCTTAAATTTTAATTTCTGAACTAAACGATAAATTAAATGCTAAAATTTTATTTATAAAGCTGCATGCTACAAAGCAAAGAAAATTTTATTGATGAATAAAGCTAGAATTTTACATGAATGTTTAGAATTTTAAACCTATGTTAAATCACTAATGATCAGTACTGGTAGCCTTAAAAATCATGATAACCCTATCAGTGAAAGGCTTAAAGGTCCCATACTTTTAGTTTTAAAAGTTATGATATAACTACAAGAACTAAAGACTTGTAATGCAGCCAAACAGTAGAGCTATGTATACTAGACCTTTGAATTTATAATTCTAAAAAATGTTACTTTTTTCTTTATAACATACAAAGATCTGGGAGAAAAACATTTATTTCCATTGACATGAGTTTTGTGAAGAATGAATTTTTAGTTTGCATAACTTTCAGTGATAAAGAAATTATTCTTATAAAGTCATACAAAAAATTTGTAAATAAGCATTCAACTTTTATTTAACAAAATTTGCATTACAAACAAAAAATAAGCGAGAAACAAATTTTCAATTTATTTTTATTTGTTTGTTTATTTATTTATTTATTTAAGGTGACTAAAATTCTTTTCCCACATTAATCTT